TAAAAAATATTTTATTTATTATTTTTATTTTATGAGTATGCATGTATTGCCTGTATGTAGGTAAGTGCACCCATGTTGTGCACTGCCTGAGGAGGATGGAAGAGGCTGCTGGATCCCTTGGAACTGGAGTTATGGACAGTTGTTAGCTGCCATGTGGGTGCTGGGATTTGAACCCGGGTCTTCTGCAAGAACAGTCAGTGTTCTTAACCACTGAGCCATCTCTCCAACCCCTCATTTGTTTTTTTGTTTTTGGTCTTTTTGAGACAGGGTCTCCCTATAGCTCCAGCTGGCCTCGAAGTCAGAGATCCACCTGCTTCTGCCTTCCCGAGTGTTGGGATTAAAGTCAGTTTCTCATTTGTAACCCTGGGAAATACCTAAATTTGCATATCTAATCAGTTTATAGAAAGCAGAAACAATGTATGTAAAGGGCTCAATAAATAGTGCCTGCACCACTCGCCAGCGAACCGAACCCAGTTGGTTGAGAGCTGCCTGAGGGCAGTGTAGGTGTTCGGCCTATGGCGCGGAGAGACCTAGGCTGACCCGGCCCAGAAGGGAATCAGCCCCAATTCCCGGGGGGAAGGACAACAACGCGGACCCCACCTCCCGGAAGTGACGACGCCACTAGAGCGATTGGCCCGAGCGGGGTGCGCGGAGCATGGCGGAAGCGGAAGGGAGTTCTCAGCTTCTCTTGCCGCTGCCACCTCCCCCTCCCGGGATGGCGGAAGTGGGGGCGCCGACGGCGGCCGAGAGGGACATGAAGCAGCACCACGGGGCCGGCGGCGTCACTATGGACGTGGAGCGGAGCCGCTTCCCCTACTGCGTAGTGTGGACGCCCATCCCGGTGCTCACGTGAGTCTCCTCCGGTGTTCGCGCGGTGAGGAAGAGGGCCCAGGGTCCTCGGTATCCTTGCCGCGAATCTGGCATGGCCGAACTACCTTTTGCCCTGAGACGCTGCAACCGTTTCCGCTGACCGTGGGGCTTGCTCCCTGCCTCCCTTAACCGTGGTCTAGTCCGGAAGACAGATGTAGATCGGCGGGAAAGACCAGGGTGCTGGGAGGTCCAAGCGCTGCAGGTGTACAGGGTAGAGTAGTTGTAACCGTGGTCTGAAGAGACCATTCATTCAATTCACCGGTTTATTCATTCATTGAGCAAATGCTTACTGGTCACCTGCTATAGGCAAGATGCTGTTCCTCTAGAAGCCTAAGTGGGAATTTGGTTGGGGCCAGGCTTGGCTCATGGAATGTTAACACTGGAAGGGCCAGCCTAGTCCAGCCTTTTACCTGGTACACCATCTCAAATTTAGGTACTGGAGTGGCTCCTTCACAGTGAAGGGATAGAAGCTGGTGAACAGGCCGGGCGTGGTGGCGCACGCCTTTAATCCCAGCACTTGGGAGGCAGAGACAGGCGGATCCCCTCTGAGTTCAAGGCCAGCCTGGTCTACAAAGTGAGTTCCAGGACATTTGGGGCTACAGGGAGACCCTGTCTCAAAAAGACAAAAAAAAAAAAAGAAGAAGCAGGTGAACAGAGCTAGCTTACTGCCCTGCCTCTCTGGTCTTGACATCTAGTTATAACCACTGGACAGTTTGCCAGGCTCTTTCACTCTCCTTTCTTTGAATTTCAGAGTCACTTTCTAAAGTAAGAAGTCTCCTCCCCTATGATGAAACAGATTTTTGTAGCATTGTCTTGGTCAGTTTCCTGCCCTAGCAAGAAGGCATTCAGAACTCAGTCTTCTGACTGTACAACTTGTCTGTCAGCTGTATTTTTTATTTTTATTATTTGATTTTTCCTGAGACAGTCTCCCTGAAGCCCCAGCTGGCCTGGAACTCACTATGTAGACCAGGCTGGTCTTGATCTCCTAGAGATCTGTTTGCCTCTGCCTCCAGAGTGCACCACTGTGCCCTGCTTTTCAGCCATGTCTTATCACTTCTCACCTAATGGGGTAGATTTTTTTTTTTTTACACTATCAAAAATTGCCAACTCTGGACTGGAGAGATGGCTCAGTGGTTGGGACACTGGCTGCTCTTGCAGAAGACCCAGATTCTATTCCAAGTACCCATATGGTGGCTAGTAGCCATCCAAGGCTCCAGTACCAGGGAATCCAACACCCTCCACAGGCATTTCATGACACCGGTGCACTTATGCATGCAGTGCACTCATACGCATAGAATAAAAATAATAAATTTTGGGGGGGCGTCTTTTTGAGACAGGGTCCCCCTTAGCCCCAGATGTCCTGGAACTCACTATGTAGACCAGGCTGGCTTTGAACTCACAGAAATCCACCTGCCTCTGCCTCCCGAGTGCTGGGATTAAAGGCGTGCGCCATCACGCCCAGCAAAAATAATAAATTTAAAAAAAAATTGCCAACTTGTGGTGTAGGGGAAAAGGAATTGTTTTTTGCCTTATTTGTTGCTGATCTTAAAATCACCTTAATTTTTTGTATTTTAATTTTATTGATTCTATTTTGAGACGGCCTTGATATGTAGCCCAAGCTGGCTTGGAATTCACTATATATCCTGTGCTGGCATTAAACTCATGATCCTCCTGCCTGAGCCTTCTGAGTGCTGGGACTATGGGTATATATCATCTCACTCAGCTACATAACTCTAATTTTTGTGGGGTTTTGTTGTTGTTTTTGGTTGTTTTGATTTGGGCTTTGGGCAGAGGGAATCTTTTTGAGACAGGGTCTCCCTATAGCCCCAGATGTCCTGGAACTCACTATGTAGATCAGGCTGGCCTTGATCTCAGAGATCTGCCTGCCTCTGCTCCCTGAGTGCTGGGATTAAAGAGCATGCAGCATTATGTCCAGCATGACCCTAATTTTTATATCATGTTGAATTATTTGTATCTGGAGAAATGACCCAGTCAATAAAGTACTTGCTGTGCTCTCATGAGAACCCGAGTTTGGATTCCTACCACTTAGGTAAAAAAAAAAAATGAAAATCAGCCTCAGCAGTGCATCACCTAGAATCCCAGAGGTGAGAAGTGGAGACGGAGACTGACCAGCTATTCTTGCCGAAGCAGTGATCTCAGAATATAAGGTGGACCAGGGTGTGGTGGCGCACACCTTTAATCCCAGCACTCCGGATGCAGTGGATCTCTGAGAGTTCAAGGCCAGCCTGGTCTACATAGTGAGTTCCAGGCCAGCTGAGGCTACAGGGAGACCCTGTCTTTTAAAAAAAGAGAGAGAGAGAGATAAGAAAAAAATTAGATCTTCTCCCAACCAGTTGAAGGGAATCTGGTTCAGAAAAGAGCCTAAGATCAGGTTCTGAGAAGCCAGAGGAGCTGCTGTCCCATAATTCTGGTGTCCATCCTGGGGCCACTATTGACAGTGAGCAACTTATCCTTTGTCAGAACAGTTAGATAGCAAGTACTTACTCAATACCTCAAGGTAACAGCATTGAGCACCTACCAAATGTGAGCAATATTCAATACACTTTGCAAGCAGGTCCTGTCTAATCCCCACAATAGCCCCTCATCAAAGTACTTCCTGCTTTCCGCAGAGATGATTATGACTAGCTTGCCCAAAACAAAATCAATACAGCCCAGAACTTAAAACTTGGCTCCACTCTTTTTTCTAGTTAGTACATAGTAATCTTATGGACATATGAAGTATAGTGTGACATTTTAATATGTATTTTTAAAATGTAATGATGAGCCGGGCTAGAGAGATGGCTCAGTAGTTAAGAACACTGGCTGCTCTTGCAGAACCTTGGTTCAAGTCCCAGCACCACATAGCAGCTAACAGCCATCTGTAACACTATTTCCAGGGGAGCCAGCACCCTCTTCTGACCTCCGTGGCATTGCATGACGTGGGTGTACACATGCAAGCAATACACTCATACACATAAAACAAAAATAATAAAACATATAAAAATAGCCAGGTATGCTGGCACATGCCTTTAATCCAAGCACTCAGGAGGCAGATCTCTGTGAGTTCAAGGCCAGCTGGGGCTATAGGGAAACCCTGTCTCAAAAAGACCCTCCCCCCCAATATATATGTGTATGTTATGATCACAGACTGGGGAGATGGCTCAGTGGGTAAAGTATTTGCTGCACAAACATGAGGACCTGAGTTCAAATCTCCAAAATCCATGAAAAGGTGAGCATGGGAGCACATGTGTATGATCCCAGTGCTCCTGTGGTGAGATGGCAGACAGAGACAGAATCCCCAGAACCTAGTCCAAAATATGCAACAGTGAGACCCTGCCACAAGGTGGAAGGCAAAGACCAAGCCTAAGATTGTCCTCTGAGCCCCACATGCACACTGTGGTGTGTGCACACTCACACATGCACATATAGCACACATACAAAATGTAATGGTCAGATCATGGTAATTACATTCCCCGCCTCAGATATCATTTCTGTTGGGAAGACCCAAAGTCCTCTGTCCTCGCTATTTTGAAGCACACAATTATTATTAGAGTTATCCTGTGTGCTGTAGAGTATTGGAAGTTATTCCTCATATGCAGCCATACCCCCTGCTTTTAAGCACAGGGCATTTGTTCATCATTTAGCCAGCAGATACTTAAGGAGTTGCATGTAGCATGTGTGCCAGGCACTGTCTTAAAAACTACAATGTATGAGACATGTTCGTGGGAAGAAACAGGTAGCTAGTGTGTAAATAATAAGCAAGGTCATTTCAGATAGGAGCACCTGGATACGTGAAGAAGAGAAAACAGTAAAACTCGGGTGCCTGAGTTTGGTTCCCAGCACCCACATCTTGTGGTTCATAACCACCTGTAACTCCAGCTCCAGGATATCTGATGCCCTCTTCTGGCCTCCAAGAGCACCTACACTATATAACAAAAAAAAAAAAAAAAAAAAAAAAAAAAAACAAAAAACCCTCTTCCTTATAAAGATAGATTGAATCCATCTGCTATTCACCACCTCACCATTGCTTCTCTAGTTAGAATATATCATATGGCTGGGACTTCAGCAGTAGCCTCTAAACTCTCCTCCCTCCTGCCTTCCTTACCTCTCCCCTCCCTTTCTTTTTGTCTTAGACAGGGTCTCACTGTGTAGCCCTGACTGGCCTGGAACTCTTTGTAGACCAAGCTGGCCTGGAACTCAAAGAGAGCCACCTGTCTCTGCCTCCTGAGTGCTGGGATTAAAGGCGGGTGCCACCACACCCAGCCTCCCCTCCCATGCTTCAGATATGAACCACATTTTCCTGCTCCTGGATTTTTGTTTGTTTGTTTTACCCTATCAGTGGCTTATCATTTCACAAGTCAGAGTTAAAATTCATCTCTTATGCAATAAAATTTTAAAAATCAAAAAAACAAAAACACTAGATGGGGTATATTTAGAGGGTGGTAAAAATACAGTAAAGTTTTACAAATCAAAAAAAAAAATTCATCTCCTGTGAAATCTTTGCCAACATGGCCTCATCCCCATGTACTTGCCTCCTTGAATTGTGTCTCTAAGTATTTTTGTTTTATTTTTATTATTATTATTTTGTCTTTTTGAGACCAGGTCTCCCTGTAGCCCCAGCTGGCCTGGAACTCACTATGTAGACCAGGCTGGCCTTGAACTCACAAAGATCCGCCTGCCTCTGCCTCCCAAGTGCTGGGATTAAAGGAGTGCACCACCATGCCCAGCTTTTTTTTTAATATATTTTTTAAAATTTTATGTGTACGCATGTATTGCCTGAGTATAGGTAAGTGCACCTGTGTCATGCAATGCCTGAGGAGGACAGAAGAGGCTGTTGGATCCCCTGGAACTGGAGTTACGGACAGTTGTTAGCTGCTATGTGGGTGCTGGGATTTGAACCCAGGTCTCCTGTAGGAACAGACAGTGTTCTTAACGCTGAACCATTTCTCTAGCCCTATTTTATTTTATTTTTAATGTGCATGAGTTTATTGTCTGCATGTGTATAAGTGTGTCTGTGTTGTGCAATGCCTGCAGAGGTCAGAAGAGGGTGGAGGATCCTTTGGAACATCAGTTACAGTTAGCCGCCATGTGGGTGCTGGGAATCAAACCCAGGTCCTTTTCAAGAGCAGTCAGTGCTCTTAACCCTCTTAACCACTGAGCCATCTCTCCAACCCCCTTTTTTTGTTTTTTAAAGATTTATTTATTTTATGTGTATGAGTGTTTTGCCTGCATGATGTATGTACCCTTCAATACATGCCTGATGCCTGCAGAGACCAGAAGATCTGGAGCTGGAGTTACTGACTTTGTAAGCCCCCGTGAGGGTACTGGGAACTGAACCTAGGTCCTCTGCAGTAGCAGCCAGTGCCATCTCTCCACCCTCTGTCTTTGCTTCCACCTTCCTAGCAGAGTGTTTGATGTTTATGCTCAAGCAGCCTGGAGACCCATACCTAGCCTCTGGCCTGTGAACCCTACTTTTCATGTGTTTTGATTTTCTGAGACAGAGTCTTCCTCTTTAGCCCAGGCTGGCCCAGAGTTTGCTGTATAGTCCAGGCCGGCCTCAAACTTGAAATCCCTCTACCTCCTAAGTGCTTGGATGAAAGCACCATCCCCAGCTCTGTTGTTTGTTTGTTTTGTTTTTAATAATGGAATGCTTTGCTAATTTGTGTGCTACCACGCCCAGCTTACTTTTTTTAATATTTTATTTTATGTGTATGAGTATATTGCCTGCATGTGTGAAAGTGCGCCCATGTCATGCAATGCCCAAGGAAGTCAGAAGAGGGCATCAGATCCACTGGAACTGGAGTTACAGATTATTGTTAGCTGCCATGTGGGTGCTGGGAATCGAACGCAGGCCCTCTGCAAGAGAAGTCAGTTCTCTTAACTGCTGAGCCATCTCTCCAGCTCCTTGTTTTTTAAAAAATAAACCTTGATAGCCAGGCATGGTGGCACATGCCTTTAATCCCAGCACTCAGAAGGCAGAGGTAGGCAGATCTTTGTGAGTTCAAGGCCAGCCTGGTCTACATAGTGAGTTCCAGGATAGCTGGGGCTACAAGGAGATCCTGTCTCAAAAAAGACAAAAAAAAAAAAATAATGAAACAGGACTGGGAGCTGGTTCAGCAGTTGAAAGACTCAGGTTCAGTTCCCAGCACCCACAGCTAACAACCGTCCTAACTCCAGTTCCAGGGGATCCAGTACCCTCTTCTGACTTCTTTGAGCATTGCACAACATGGGGGCATTACATTAATGCAGGCAGCACACTCATACACATAAAATAAAAATGATAAATAAGGCTGGAGAGATGGCTCAGTGGTTAAGAGCACTGACTGCTCTTGCAGAGGACCAGGTTCGATTCCCAGCACCCATGTGGTGGCTATGAACTGTCCTTAACTCCAGTTCCAGGGGAATCCAATATCCTCTTCTGATCTCCACAGGATTGCATGACATGGGTGCACTCACATTCATGCAGGCAATGCACTCACACACAAAATAAAAATAATAAAATATTTTTTAAATAGTCCATTTATAAAAAAAGTCATTCTGGGGGCTGGAGAGATGACTCAGCAGTTAAGAGCACTGACTGCTCTTGCAGAGGACCTGGGTTCAAATTCCAGCATCTAC